CTGAGCATGCACGCTTTCTGCAAGGGTCTCTGCAGGTTCCCCTCCCTGCAATGCCATCATTTTTGTTCAAGTAAATCTTTATTCTAGGAGGAAACCATTTACTCATTGTCAATAGTGTTTGTTGCATCCACGGATTCAAATCTGCACCTACAACCAGCCAGAAACACATCCACCAAGATACACTTCGCCCAGAAACACACACATAGGCGCAATGCCAACATCATCTCTCAAGTATACATTCACGTTCCTGCAGTACCATGCACACAAATCTGGGATTAAGTTGGTGCTGCTTCAAGGAAACACAGTCTCTAGGAGCTGCCATTTCAGAGGAACAGATAGACATCACCTACATGCTTGCACGTCTTACCCATCTTGCAGGCCACCTCATACCTCTGCTTTCAGATACAGATGCATTTCATCAGTTTCAGCTAAAAGTATAGCAATGGAGAATACAGTTCCCTGAGCTTTGTGCCACAATCAAGAGATAATTATATGCTGTCCTACCCTGTCACTTCCTGAGTGGGTTCTAAACCTTATTTAGAAAGCTTTAGCAGTAATATTTTCTCATTAATTAAAAAACCCACAGCTACTTGAAACGTCAGAGAGCTGGGGGAGAAAGGGATACAGCACTAACCCATAAATCACTCAAATTCAGTTTCAGATGCAACATGAACCTCCAAACCAAAAGGTTTTCAAGACCCCAACCACAGGTGATCTGGTGTGGTCTAACCCAGCAGGGTTTCATGCCGTTACAGTTCACTCTGTTTTTGAGTCAGAAACCTAATTTGTCAGGAGAAAATAAAAGCGTAAAGACAGTGATAATAAAAGAAAATATGATTAACTTGTGATTCACATCTGATCTCAGGAATATAATCTAATTTTAGACCTTTCATTGATTTAGAGCTCTATTGCTAATGCTGCATTTGAAAGGAAAATTAATGATTCTTGGTGGTTTGGATGTGCTTCAAAACTCTAGCCTTTTCTCCACCTTCAGCAATCTTGTTTATGTCCTTTGTTTGGTTTGTGTAGACGAAATCAACAGAAAAGTTGTGATCTAGCTATTAAGAGGAAGACAAAGATCTTCTATTTAATATTTCCTAAAGAAAATAAAAAAAGCAAAACAAAAAAACAACCCAAAAAACCCAAACCAACCAACCCTCTACATTGCCTATCTTCCTTTAGCAAAACCTCCAGTTTTCCACTGATCTCCTAAAGATTACTTCTACTTCCCTGAATTTCAGGGGTCTCAGTGATATGCTCCTACTCTGCAAGCATCAAAATGTCCATTACAAGTACCAATAGGTTTGTTTCAATGCAGAGATAGTGAAAACCTCCCCAAGAGTCTGACTTCCAGGGAAGGGGATTAGAATTAATATGAGATAGAAATAAAGAAAACCTAGAGGGAAAAAAAAAGGAAGGAGCAAGATTAAAAATAAATAATGTTCTGTGCATGTGTGTGAGCAAAAAAGGTGAAAAAAGACAGAAAAAAGCTGTTAGGAAAACAAAATCCCAACAAAACAAGGGAAGGAGTCTCATGTCCCTTGGCATCATGGCAGCAGAGATGGCGACAGGGTAATGTCCAGCAATGGAGCAGGTAGGGGACACTTCTCCGCTTCCCAACATGCTCACACGTTTCCATGCAGGTCAAGCTCATGACTGAACTCCAGTGTCAGAACAAGCTTAATTAAAATTAACAAATTACTGTGACATACTGGGGCCAAAACCACTGCTGCGTAAAGTAAACCCACTACAAACACCTTCACAAGCTACTGAGATGAAGTCAAAAGGACTGAACAAGCCACTTCTTGAAAGGACCTAAGAGCTGGTCACCTTAATCCTGATGCTAAGAAGTTTTACTTGAAGTCCTGCTATGTTGCTCTTGCACCTCATATTCATACCACATACCCCTCAGTGAAATTACTGGGATATTGTTCCCCCTTTCGGGGCTTCCTTTAGTAGGATTATGAATCCATATTGATCCCAGATGCATTTTGTTCAACCTGACTCTTTTAATGGCTCAACTCAAACTCATTTTCCAACAGGACATGGAGGGAAGAAACAAATCTATGCTGTGGAGGTCCACCACACACTAACTGTTCAGCACAAAGCTGGAATTACCTAGAAGTCTGCATGCATCCTGATAAAGCATGATGCTGGAATCTGAAGTTCAATCACCATATCACATACTCTGTTCTAACACAACAGAGCTTTTAACCTTACACTTCAACTGTTTGTTTCATGGTCTGATGTTAAATTTGAATATACCTCTGAATTTGCTTAGTCACTTTCCTTTGTTTCCCCCCTGCCTTCACAAACAGCGACCTGATCCTTCAAACCAAGCCCCAACCATTTATTCTGAAGCAATCTGTGAGATGTGATGTCCAGAAGAGGACAACATGTCCTTCCACACTTTGCTCTCAGATGGGCTGGAAAACAGAGTTCTGCAGAGCCAGCACACCTCAGAAGAGAAATGGCTGGAGCTGAGCAGGTGTCCTAGCCATGACACAACAGCATCTTGCGCCTGCTTCAGTGCCAGTGCTGCTGCAGTAACCACTGGCATTAGAACAAATAATTATTAGCCACAGAACCCCAGCATATCAGAGGCCTCACCTGCTACTTGCAGAAGGTGCTAAACCCAGGAGGTTCCCATAGTCAACCTGAACCCGCCCATCTCATCTCATTCATCTCTTGCAATGTCAGCCTGTTAGAGCTTTCACCCAGCATGATAACAACTTTTTAACTGTAGAATTATTTGCAACTTGCTTTAAAACAGGCACAGGCTCAGACATTCTGCTTATATGGCTAAAAATCTGCTGCACAGGGACAGAAATGAAATACAGACTATTGAGAAGAAGACTATACCCAGAGGCAATACAAAATGTATTATAGATTTATCTACTTCATGCAAGACCCAAAGGCTCTGCAACCAGGTCTGACAAGACAAAATTAATTAACAATCTGCTTTACTCACTGGGAGAGTGTATATTTAACATCTCTTGCCCTCGAGGGATCAATATTGCAAGCTCCTTGAAACTTAAGAAAAATAACCTGTATCACACAACCTGCTGGACAGTTACAATTAGTACTTCTTCTTAAGCCCGTGTTTTATTTTGTTAATTGGATTAATTCCTTCTTGATACCCTGGGCTATGTTTGGCCTTTTCCCCATTATTAAATAAACCTTTTTAGCCACTCACAAACCTGTAAAGCTGTTGCTCTGTTCGTTTTTAGTGATTTGGAACATTCTGTTCTCTCTCATATTTCAGCCCCAATGAAAAACTCTCCCTGAAAATTCAATAAAGCATCTGAACAGCACGTTCACATGAAGCAATTCACCACCGGAGCCTAAGCAAGCTTTTGTTTGGCCATCTCCAGTTGGCTTTGGACTGAGGTGTTGTCTTTTCTCTCTTCTGAATGCCAAAAGCATCGAGGTAAGCCCTTGGCCACTGCTTGGTTCAAATCACCCACTTCAAATAAGTTCATTTCCTGTTCTTGGCCTCTTCAGGCTGAGTTCAGGCACCCTAGTTTGGATGCCCACACTCTTGCACCCTCTGCTCCGTGTGCCAGGCTGATGTATGTGACAATGTCTGTGACACTTCAGTTTGACAGCTACTGTCAGATATTAGCAAAATCTCCAGGGGACCAACAGTCTTCAGGACGCCCAAGGCAGTCAAGGGGTGACAGACTGCAGCTTCCCCGTGCTCCAGAGAGGGTTGTTTTCTCCTTGTCAGAAGCCAAGGACAGGGTAAGCAAGGCAGCAGGCACCTCACAAGTCCATTGGGGAATCTTCATCAAGGCTC